GTCATTTGTGTTTGTTTGTTTTTTTCAATTTTCTAACCCATGTTTAACACGTCTGCTCTCAAAGATCAAATATAATTCAGCCACTATACCCATAAAACTGTATCAAGACACCACATTGTCTTACATCCATGTGACACACAAACAGACACACAAATAAAATCACGATTTCTTGAAAACCCGAACCGCTGTAAATGAAACAATATCTTAAATTGTTTTTCATTTACGGATACGTTACAAATAGAAAACATGAGTGCAGAAACAGCAGCTAAAAACAATGGCCACGCGTGCTAGATTGACAACAAGTTTAATCAGTGATTTTGGCCCACTTTAAAATTTTAAAAACCTTGGGATTTCCGAGATTTGCCGAGGGTTTCAAATGTCAGCGCGTTATGATAAGAAAGTTACAAGATAATGTTACGTGGCCATTGTTGTTTAATTTATGATCTCATGACAGGGAGTGGAACAGGGGAGGGTGGTGGTGGTGGTGGTAGTTGAAGGGTGGTAGTAGTGGTGGTGGTGGTGGTTGAAGGGTGGTGGTTGTGATTGAAGGGTGGTAGTGGTGGTGGTGGTGGTTGAAGGGTGGTGGTTGTGATTGAAGGGTGGTAGTGGTGGTGGTTGTGGTTGAATGGTGGTGGTGGTTGTGGTTGAAGGGTGGTGGTGGTGGTGGCTGTGGTTGAAGGGTGGTGGAGGTGGTTGTGGTTGAAGGGTGGTGGTGGTGGTGTGTGAAGGATGGTGGTGGTGGTGGTTGTGGTTGAAGGGTGGTGGTGTGTGAAGGATGGTGGTGGTTGTGGTTGAAGGGTGGTGGTGGTGGTTGTGGTTGAAGGGTGGTGGTGTTGGTGGTTGAAGGGTGGTGGTGGTGGTAGTTGTGGTTGAAGGGTGGTGGTGGTGGTTGTAGGGTGGTGGTGGTGGTTGTGGTTGAAGGGTGGTGGTGGTTGAAGGGTGGTGGTGGTGGTTGTGCTTGAAGGGTGGTGGTTGTGGTTGAAGGGTGGTGGTGGTGGTGGTGGTGGTGGTGATTGAAGGGTGGTGGTGGTTGTGCTTGAAGGGTGGTGGTGGTGGTGGTTGTGCTTGAAGGGTGGTGGTGGTGGTTGTGCTTGAAGGGTGGTGGTGGTGGTTGTGGTTGAAGGATGGTTGTTGTGGTTGAAGGGTGGTGGTGGTGGTTGTGCTTGAAGGGTGGTGGTGGTGGTTGTGGTTGAAGGGTGGTGGTGGTGGTGGTTGTGGTTGAAGGGTGGTGGTGGTGGTTGAAGGGTGGTGGTGGTGGTTGTGGTTGAAGGGTGGTGGTGGTTATGGTTGAATGGGGGGGGGGGGGTTCATGTGATCGATGATACAGAGCAAAATACTTTTGAGGACTTGTGTGTTGAAATAAGCATGGTGTGTAAACTTGACTAGAGATAGCGATAAACCACACGAAAAAAAAAGCACATTGTTTATAGGTAGGTTAGGTACCGGACAGGCGGTGGAATGTCAAGGTTGAACTAGTCAAGGTCAAAAGAAGAGGAAGAAGAGGACGGGGAGGGGGGGGGGGGTGGAATGTTGGCCCGTTATTCGATCAGAGCCAGCAGAAGTACGGCTCTGGTCGGCTGGTGAGTGGATGGACGGTACAAAATGCTGAACTTTAATGGCGGTGGGTAAGGAGGTGGGGTTGGGGTGGGAGGGGTGGATACGGCTGTACGGGATGACAGGGGTGGGGTACGGATGTAGGGGGTGGCAGGGGTGGGTACGGACGTAGGGGGTGGCAGGGTGTCGGGGTACGGATGTAGGGGGTGGCAGGATGTTGGGGGAGATTTATTGCAAATTTTCGGCCTTCTGATAAAGGGAATCACTATGCAGGCTATTAACAAACTATGTATGTGTGGGGAGGGGGGGGGGTAGGCAAGGAAATGAGAATGGGACTTATGAGAGAAATACACAAGGACATGTATTATGAGATAGAATACAATTTACGACACCAAAATCGATACATCAGACATACAAAGACATAGACAGCCACAAGTAAGGTAATACTTGGACTGGATTACGACTCTACAGACAAACGGCAATCACATTCACAAGCTAAATCTGACTTGGTTATCTCCCTTTTGCGACTATCTGACTCGCCATAAACAAATTGAAAAAGAAAATGTAACAAAGGGGAGAATGTTCTTTTACCTTTTTACTTACACTCATGGGAGCGGACAGGGGGTGGGGGGTGTATTAATGGCGAAGAGATGAGAATCAGGTTGCAGACGAGGTTATTATTCTGACATTTGGAGATGTAACCCCCACAGAAAACAACATCCGGGGATGAGCGGCCAGATTGCCCATAAGACAAATAAAAATTGGCCGCGCCCAATTAGAGCTGACATGGAGTACGGCGCGTTTCATAATTACACGTGCGCCGCTTACGACACGGAGCCAATCAAGGCGTGAAGCGCTCATCGTCCGTACGACGTCGGTGTACGCACGGGTCCACCTGGCGCTCAAACACAGACCACGTGGTGGGGATAGCGACTTCCGGAACTCTCGCGATACCTGACTGAGTTCGCCCCCCCCCCCCCTTGACAACGGTCTTTTAATATTGAACATGCTGGTAGGATAAATAATCAACGCTACATATTTTTTTCGCATTACAATCTTCCGAAAAAATGTGTGTGGGGGGGGGGGGGGTTAAGATGGAAAACTAGTGAAAATATGAAGTTAAATCATTAGGTTAATTGGTAAAGATGTGTTTTTTTTTTAAATAATTAAAGTTATACTTTTAAAGATAATATTTTGTGATAGTTTGACACCAAACCTGATCAGTGTTTCTCCCAGACTTTTTTTTCTCTGGGGGTGCACTTGAAATTTTCGGGAGGGGGGGGGGGGCGGACACTGTTAAAAGTATATAAAAAGTATATAAAAGTATATATTTTCTATATAAATTGCATTCCGTTCGGGGGGCGGTAGACTTTCTTCGAAGAGATGCCTGGAAGAAACTCTGAACCTGATCTAGTCCTATATGTAAAAGTAAGTTAGTAAAGTTCCTCTTTAGACCTCTCGATCTTTTGGGCAGACGTAGTAGAGGTCATGTTTCCTAACCTCGGCATTAGAAGGGATAGTGTGGTCGGCCGTCTTTACTTTCCCCAACGTAAGCCGGGTACCCATCAGAGCTGGGTTACTCAGGGACGTTATACAGTCTCAAGTCCGAACCAAGATCTGAACTCGAGACCTTCGGGCTAGCAGCCAAAACGGGTCCTGAATGTAACCCTTAGCCCTTGCTAAAATAAAAACTTTAACAGCGTTAAGGGCCGAGTTTAACAAACAACCAGGTCGTATACAGGATATCATTACTCGAATAGCGCTCAACTAACCTTAACCCTGTCACAGCCCTTGCCCTGATCCCAACTTCAATATTTATCTTCTTTTATTGGTCTTCTCCTAACACTAACCCTGGTCTTACAGGGAATATAAAGGAACAAACAAAAACTTAACGACACTCTATTGTGCTGCCAGACTTATAAGAACCAATTACGTAAACGCAAATAAGGGACATGACTCTAGCCAAACTTCCAATAAAATAAGTCAGTGACATGCATCAATTACAAACTTGAGGGTCGGGGAAAGCAAACACAGACGGACGAACTATCAGAAATACAATATTTGCTTTCTATAATTCATGACGAATTAAACGATTCGGTTTCTACATTAATTTTTTTTAACATTTGCGTCACTCTTCAAGGGAAGTAATTGGAGTTCTAATCCCGTATTTCCTTTAAAGGGAGAACACCAAAGGAAAGCTTTAAATAAAGTCTGGGCGAAACGATTACGATTCGAATTTAACTTTAGTCTTCGTGACTTTAAAAAAAATAAGCTCAGATTAAACATGTACTATTGACTTATTCCCCCTTTCTCACGATTTATCCTTCTTATATATTTAATGCATTTCAACAAGCGGCAACCACCTGCTCAATTATCTCCCCTCTTTAATCGACGAGCGATCGCTGTATTGCATATTTACTTTTCAAGAATTGTCGCGACATGCGCCTCGTATGCCCAATTCAACTTCCATGTTTTTGAACTACATCCGGGCAGCGCCGCGTAGCACTGCTAGGTCTTGCTGTGACGGACGATTGGGTTTTCCCGATCCCGAAATAGCAAAAAAAACCCACATACTTTTCTCTTTACTAAGGATTCGTAGCTGACATGACAGGGTTGTTGCCTACTGTGTTGCCGACGTAGCCTTACACTCATAGTGGGTGGCGCAGCTACAACATTTATACGTCAGGGTGGGGTGGGGGGGGGGGGGGAAACTACATGTGAACCCTGTTTCTGTGAACTCGGCATTTGAACGGACAGTGGTCAGCAATATGCCTAGCCGCATTTACTTTCCCAATCGTGAGTTAGGTACCCATTAGAGCTGGGTATACTTAGGGACGTCCTACAACTACTAGCAAACAAGGGCCGTTTTATTGGCTTGAACCCGGATTCGAACTCGAGGCTTTCGGGATAGCAGTCCAGCTTTCTATCGCTAGGCCACGCAGTCCCAGAACATGTTCGCCCCTAGTACACGTTCCTAATATAGGCCTAGGCATTAAAACAATTAATTTATACCATTTGACGTTTTGTATGCCAAGACACATAACACATATGAAAGACACACACCGCTGATATAAGACACACACCACTGCTGTAAGACACACACCACTGATGTAAGACACACGTGTATTTGTAAAGCGAACAACGTCACATTTTAAGCTCGTTCATCCGTCTCCATAGAAACACGGAAGCTCCGTTAGCGAGGCGTACGATCTCCATGGTAACCAAACAAAACGGACAGACAGGCGAAAGGGAAATTATATTGATGGAGATTTTTTTTCTTTTAAATGTGAGATAATCTTGAAGTGGTCATCGAAATACGTGATGGAAAACATCACGTGACTGGTTACACAAATCAATTTAAACTTTCAGGCAATGTGTATGTGTGGGTGTAGAGGAAGACAGCGTTGTGTGTGGGGGGGGGGGGGGGAGGTGGTACGAATACTGACCTCTAGTGCGTGTTCCTCCTGCGCTTCCCTGTCCAGCGTTTTGCTTGTAGTGCTCATCTGACCTGAAGATGGACAAAAATAATTGAAAATATTAGTCGAAATTTATAAATAACAGGACACAGTGAATACAGTCGACACTGGGTATATTAGTATTTTGTGCATCTGTTTTACTCGGTGTTTGAAATCGAAAGGTTGAATGAAATACCGAGAATGTTTATATTTAGCGAACACTACAAGTATAATGCGATGGGTTTTGAGGTAAATAAGGGTCGAACTATTGTAATGTACACCAACAAATCCATCATATTAATTCCACCTTAACCCCCAATGTTGTATCCCAGATTTTACAAGTGTATGTTTTGGCTCTCTTCCTCCCCCGCCCCACTGGTGTATCCCACATTTTACAAGTGTACCTTTTGGCTCTCCTCCCGCCCACGTGTTTCCATCCTATTGGAATATCCCATCCATGACCTTCAAATCCAACCCATGACATGTAAATCCCACTCATCATCTTCAAATCCCATCCATGACCTTCAAATCCCACCATGACCTTCAAATCCCACCCATGACCTTCAAATCCCACCCATGACCTTCAAATCCCACCCGTGACCTTCAAATCCCATCGTGACCTTCAAATCCCACCCGTGACCTTCAAATCCCACTCAAACACCACACAGCTTCCAGAATTAAACAAGCTTGAGAATACAATTAGCTGAAACATTTTTTAATGAGCGAGGGCTTTAAATAAAAACAAGATTTCAACAAAGCTCAAATGTCACGATGACCTCCCGGGGGTGGGGGGGATGCAAACAACGTCGTCTGCTCCGTGACCCACGCAAGCAGCGCCCAGATTTACATAATAGGGTTTCTGAGCCAGGTTTTTTTAAAAGAAATTTCTTAGCGCGTAAGACTTCCGGTTAAGTTAACCCGTGAATTTTGATTGGCTAGAATTTCACTACAATGTACTTTTACGTGTTGGGGAAAAACTTTTCACAATTTCATTTAATTAACAAAAGATTAGGTTTGATTTTTTAAGAACGTTAACGGGCCAGTGAAGTATCGTATGGGATATGTTTCAACTAATCTTGCAGTCAGGGATAGGGTTAGTGTTAGGACGAAGGTCAGGATAAGTTTTAACACTAGCCTAAGTATGCATGGTAAGCATCCTCTGACATTGCCATAGTTTATTTTAGTGCTCAATACAATTAACCCTTAAACCCGAGCCAAATTTGAGAACCACTCATTCCAATTTAGCACCGGTGCAACGAAATATATTTTGTACATAAAATGTTGTATGTTAGAGAAAAAGTTTGTTAGAAGTGGCGGTATGGTCGGGCAGAAGAGTACATAATTGCCGACGCCTAAAGTTCCGAGTTCGGACACTGGGCAGGTGAGGCTCCTTAGCTGGGGACAGCAAACCATCTAGCTAGGAGAGACAACTCCAAAATCAAACAACTTCAGTCTTGCATATTATTCTTTTGAGACCAAAGGCTATGGAAACAAATCCAAAACGAAAACGCAGGCTGAAGCTGGTTGAAGTCAACAGTTCAAATAAGAACGAAGAAGAACAAAAGGCACTGATGAAGATGACTAAACTTTAGACACGGGGGACCTAATTTGAGAACCACTGATCTATCTGTAGATCACTTCCTAACCTTGACCCCTGAACTTAACCTTAAAACCGTGGCGTTGCGGTGACAAAACACCTGTATCAAAAATAGATTTGTTATCGAAAAAACCTGTCAATACAGAATTCTAGCACCGTAGGAGATCGATAATTGGCCGTCAACAATCGATGTTATTGAACTGTCTTGATCAAATCAAAATGGCGGCTCGAGAAGGGAGAAGGGCGGTATTTAAACCAACAACAAAAAATGTATTCATTTAATTAAAGAATGTTGTGGAATGCCCACGTTTTCCTCACACGAGAAATGACAAATTAATTTTTTTTAAATTTTAATTAATTAACTTAATGTTGCAGGTTTGTCTTACCCAGGACTGAGGGCGTTAAGACAACAAGACGCGCCCTTCCGGCATGTGACAACTCGTGGTGACCCAGTAACCCAGGCAGCCCACTGCATGTCTGACGGTTGGTATTATATCTGCATACAGCGCGTGAATTCAACGATGCGCGAAATGCACGTGGCAAGAAGCCATTTTTTGTCACGCGCCTAGTTTTTTTTGTTTTTTTTTTTGGTAACAAAAACAAAATAAAAACATATACAAGGGGTCGCCCGTAAACGACGTCACGGCTTTAACAAATTATTCTACCCACTACATCTTTACAAAAAAAATGTCATCAGAGTAACGTTATTGAAAAAGAGAAAAAAACGTCATTCCGAAATCAAGAAATATTGATATAGGCGAACATTTATTTCATGAGCAGTTTTCGAATATGTGCAATGTTAACAAACTTTTCTTTATTTTAAATCGTATTAAGATCTTAAGTCGAAACACTATGTATTTTTTTAGCCCCTCTTCTAATCGAACTTAATTTTAGATTTTTAAAAGTGGGAGAGACTAATTTTTTAAAAGGCGTTCCTTAATCAGTCGGCATCAAAACTTTTTAAAAAATACAAGGTAGAATGGTGTTAGATGCATTCAAACAAATTGGAAACTTGACCACAAAGCTTGACCACTGAAATGCCACACAAACAAATTGGACATTAAGCTTGACCACTGAAATGCCACACAAACAAATTGGACATTAAGCTTGACCACTGAAATGCCACACAAACAAATTGGACATTAAGCTTGACCACTGAAATGGCTCACAAACAAATTGGACATTAAGCTTGACCACTGAAATGGCTCACAAACAAATTGGACATTAAGCTTGACCACTGAAATGCCACACAAACAAATAGGGCATTAAGCTTGACCACTGAAATGCCATACAAACAAATTGGTCATTAAGCTTGACCTCTGAAATACCACACAAACCAATGAGACATTACGCTTGACATCTGAAATGCCATTTAAAAAATCTGACTTGACCTCTAACATGAATGTTAAATTAATTTATCATTTAAAATATATGGGGAAAATTAGCGCAGAGGTATGCGGCCCAGCTGGATGGCTAACAGGTAAGAGAAATGTGAGGACCGAGTCATTAATTAACTCGCAGTCATAATGAGCTGGTGCAAAAAGGTTTCCTGCACGCGCCAGTTCATGTGGGTCAACCGGTTTGTGAAAACCATCTCAGTACAGTCGTACGACCATCGCTGGACCAACTGTACTGGTCATTTGATTTCTTCGTTTCTCTCAGATACAAATATACAAATGTCATGTGTAGTTCTTTAATAACATTTTAATTTTCAGTTTTACAAGATTTTTATGACCTCTCCTGTTTTATTTTAAAGATCATGTCCTCTGCAGGTGGTCAATAAGGCAGATGAAGTAGAGTTCACCTGTTTCTGTGGCGTCGACATAAGAAGGGATAGATAGTGTGGTCAGCACTATGCCCAAACACCTTTTACTTTTGCTAACGTGAATCAGGTACCAATAATAGATTGTAGACTCAGGTATGTCCTACGTATTCAAGCTCGGGATCTGATCTCAAAACTTCTGGTTTAGCAGTCGTGCGCTCTGCTGTCCAACCACGTCGTTTTATTTTTGTTCTCTGGCTACTAAAGGCACCGAAACACGACATAGGAAACCGACACACAGATATAAGACAGATACGATAGACCCACGAGACAGACATAAAAAAAAGATTCCTCTTTAGACCTAACGATGCATTGGGCAGATGAAGTGGAGTTTATATGTTTCTTGACCTCGGCATATAAAGCAATAGTGTAGTCAGCACTATGACCAGCCGCCTTTACTTTCCCTTAGGACTCTCATCAGAATTGGGTGGACTCAGGGACGTTCCACTAACTTGAACCCTGATTCGAGCTCGAAACTATCGGGTTAGCAGTCTAGCGCTCTACCGCTAGGCCGTGCTGTCCCATACGAGACAGACATACTAGGGACATAAGACAGGCGTCGATGGACCCATGCCGCTGAGCTACACTTTTCTTTTCACAAAAACAAAAGTAATTTAGAAGGAAAAAAAAACCTAATAAGAATTTAATATTTGAATTCTGTTATCAATCTCTCCCCCCCCCCCCCCCTTCCAGAAAAGTCAACTTTCCATAAAAAGAAATAATCATTTTATAACCTACTGAGAAATCTAAGTTTAAAAAAAAATTATTTCGTGGAATTAAAATCAATCGTTTATTTGGCGATAGCCCCCATCAATAACACATTTCCCTGGGGACTTGAGACCGAAAATTTGAGAGCCATTGGCCCACAATAACATCAAAGACTCAACCCGTTCCTTTTTCCTATAAGGGAAATAAACGTGTATAAACATCAGCGATTATTTTAGAGTTTTCTCCTCTTTCTCCCCCCCTCCCTACACTATTTTATTAAAGTACTAAAAAAACCAACTCGCGGACAGGAGTTGTCTTTGAAGTAAACCGAGGGTAATCCAAGGGGCAAACACCGAGTGAGGTGATGTACGTAATCGTTCCATTGAGTCACACGATGCTATGTAGACTAGAAAAATGTTAGGCGCATTGTTGGTAAATTGGGGGAGATCAAACCAAAAGGGGTTTATGGTTGAGACGAGGGGGAGGGGTGAAGTGAATGGTAGGGGGGTGGGGGAAATGTAGGGGAGAATTTAGATTAAAGAAAGTATTCCGGAATGTTTTGGTTTAACTCCCTAGACGGGCTCTTGAGGAAATATTTTCTTTTGTCTGGGAATTTTAGCAGACAGAATAGCTTGAGTAGGCAATAACTCGTGTAATGGAAGTCTATTTATTAAATATCTCTAAACTTCAATACAACGTTATGTCTTTTCCCCCTTTTCCGTTTGCACAAAAATATCTTTTTTTTTTTTTTAAAAATAACACTTTAAGACGGAACGTTTTAGCACTCGACATCCCATGGAATAAAAACTAGAAAAAAATAAATGGCCCAGAAATCTAAATTTAGAATAGTAATTAGGTCATGAGCTAGATGAAACCTCTTAGAAAAAAAAAACGAAAAGGGATTTGCTTTGGCGTTTGATTCTGTC